AAAAAAAAAAAAAAAAAAACAGCAAAAGCTAGCGCTCCAGGCCGCCGCCGCCAGTCGGGGGTCGCGGGGGCGCCCGCCCTCGCGGCTGCCGCTTTCTGTAGGGGGCACTGCAGGGTTGTGGAATCTCAAGTGGAAAAGTTGCCCGGAACTTTGACAGCCCCCGCGACCACGACTTCTTCGTCGTGGACCCGGCGGCGAGTGACCCCCACACGCTGTCCGGGCCGGGTCGGCGGGGCTCGGGCAGGGCTCTGCGGGGACGCCTTGGGCTGGAGCCGCCCGGGCCCGCGAGGCAGGCCCGGTTCCCTTCCCCGGGCGGGCCGGGATCACCGCGGGGCCCCCGCCAAGGCTCGGCAGTGGGGTCCTAACCCGGGGGCAGCGCCCCGGAACTGGCGCGGGCTCTCGTCCCTGCACTTGTTCCTGCATTAAGCAAACTCCGTACACACGTGCGTGTGTTCCGCGCGTTCGCCGCGTCCTGGGCGCTGGGCCGGCGGAGAGGACGCAGCCCGAGCGGCACGACGCCAGCCGGCCGGCCGGCGCCCGCGGAAGGCAGCCCGGCGGCGCGAGGCCCAGCGCCGCTCACACCGCCGCCGGCGGGCGGCCTGGTCTGGCTTCATTTTTGTGAAGGAGACTTTCTGTGCATCGATGTGTAACCAAAGATTAATGTTAAAGATATCTTTGGGGGGAAATATGAAAATGCATTAAATAAAAGAAAAGGAGTAGAGAGCGCCAGAGAGCCGGATTGGCGCGTTGGTTCCAAGGAAGGGGCCGCGGCTTCCAGAGCCGGGCGGTGGGCGCGGCGGCGCGCGGGGAAGGGGCGCTCTCGCCCGACGGGGCGTCGCGCGATGCCCGGCCAGCAAACCCCCGCCGCCGGCGGGCCGCTGCCCTCCCCAGCCGGCGGCCGCGGCGCGTGAGCGCCCTGACTCGGCTCGTGGAGGGAAATTCGGGGGTCTGGGCCCCCGCGCTTGGTTGGGCACCCCGGGAAACGTTTGCCTTTGCCCAAAGAGGGCGAGTAACGTCCCCACGCCGTGTCCGACCCCCGCAGCGATCCGACCCCCCAAGCCCATGGCTAAGCCCTCCGCCCCCTTCGTAGGGCAGATACTGTAAAAAACAACTGGGGCTCTGCGGGGAGAACAGATAAGAAATGTCGCCCGCACTCTGCTCCTTTCATCACCTTGCATAGCCCGGACTTGTTTACTTCGCTTGGCTTTTTCTTCCCCCGGCTGGAACGTGATCTGCCTCCTCCTCGGGGACTGTGTTTTATTCATCTTTGTACCCACTGCCATCTCATCGCTTGGAATAGACTCTGGCTAAATGTTTTTTGAATAAGTGCATGAATGAATGGGAGACCCGCGATTTAGTCCCCAAACTCTCCGATCTCCCTCAAGCGACTTTAAGCCTTTGGAGCCTTTATCTGTTAAGAAAGAAGAACATGTGGGGTTTTAATAATCCCCGCAATTCGTGCCCTGTCTATCTCTCTGGGGCTATTGTGAAGATCAAATAAGATAACTGAAACCTTTGTAAACTATCAGATGCCGAGCAAATATTATAGAGGATGGTTATTCATTCATTCTCCTTGGCTGGGAAAGCTGAACAAAGTAATTCCTGGGTTTGCGTTTCAGCAGATGGTGGTCGCCCTTCCTAGTCAGTCTTAAATATTTATTGTGAGTCAATCTCGTTCTTACATTTAGGAAATCAATCAAGCTTCCGTTTCTTTGAATGAAATGAAAAGTGCCTGCACACATAAATAGCGGGAAAAAATCCTCCTAGTCCCCAAACTGCCACCCCAAGCAACCCAAGAGCAGGGAAATCATGAAGAATCCATGAGATTGGCATCACAGCCCTAAGGCAGCACCAGGCAGCTGTAACCCTGCCGCGTCCAGGCACAGGATTGTGTGCGTGAAATAGTGTTAAGTGAGAAGAAGGACCCCTGGAGAGGACATGCAGGCTGGTGGAGACGTATCCATGTTCACTCTGACCCATATTGGAAGTTGGGGGGCAGGGGAGAGAAGAGGATGTAAATCATTACATTTGAATGTTCCTTGGCTGTTTTATTTTCCTGTCAAGTGGCTTAAGCCTGATTTTTTTTTTAAAGCATTCCCTCATGGCCAAGTATGTGTTTCCTTGGAATTGAAATCTAGGTTGATGGTTTTATATTTTAAAAGCTTTCATTGTGACTCATTCTTGGCCTGGGCCAGGATTCTGTAATACTCCCCAAGCTCAAGGAGCCCCGGTGTCCTGTTTCTTCAGCTTTGTTCATACCTACTTTCTAACATTTTGCCAATGGATCCAAGAAGTCACTTTTGGAGACAAATGTTTCTTTGTGTTCTTGTCATCCTAATCAGGGCAGAAGGGAACATAAACAGAGAATTTCCCGGGCTAAAGCCAGACAAGGCAGGGGCAGGAGACAGTTTTCAAGCGCTGACAGGTTAGTGGTTAGGCAAAATGGGTTGGGAGTGTGAGACTCACACGCTCTGGTGACAAGCCCTCATTTGGGTCCAGCACATAGTAAGTGCTCCACAAATGGGCATCGCGGTCTACCACGGCAGCTGTCTTGCTGACACAAAGCTCACCAGGCTCAACTCTTCCTGGAAGGCATCAGAGCAAACTCCAAAGAGCATGACACGGTGGTGGGAACTGGGTACTCTCCAAGCACATTTTCAAGATTTTTGTTCTGTGGCTTGGGAATCCAGATGTGTCTGCAGTGCACTCTCGTGTGGAAGAGGGATTTAAACAGTCTCAAATGGATACCTTTTAACTTGGGCTTTTCTAGCGCCTGTTGAAAGACAGATGGTAGTTCTTTTATTAAGATAAGCAGCAAAAGGCCCTAAGTGTAACAAACACCTCATTTGCACAGATGTGACATAACAGGCAGATTCTAGCTAGATTTAGGAAACAGGGGCCTTGTACTCTGTCTCTCCAAATAGCTCCTCAAAACCTTGAGTGCTTCCAAACTCAGAAAACCCCCTACCTCTGTCTGTCTTCTACCATGGTGTCTCTCCCAAGCAGAGAGACACCAGAGAGAGGCCCCCATTTTGTTCTGTCCCGACTCCTGTAGCCTGTTGGGCCAGATAATTCCATTCAGTGGGCATTTCTAAACACCCTAGCAGTGGCTGTGCCTAGCTCTTGCCAGGCATGGCTAAAAGGCCCAAAACACAATGGAACTCTTGCCTTCAAGGAATTCGCAGTTTCCATGGCTTCTGCCCTCATCCTGTGCGTTTCTCCAGCAGCCTCCTAACAGCCGCCCCTTCCCCTCCATTCATTCTCCACCTGCAGACACGGTGACCTTTCCAAAGTGTAAATCCCATCATGTCACTGCCTGATTGAGGCCCTGGAACAGCTCCCTCTAGCCCGCACCAGCAACCCTCAGCAGAAAACAGGCACTTTCTAAGCCAGGCCATCACTGGCCATCACTAATGGTAACTAATGGTGGTTTTTCCTTGGTTAGCAGGAAAAAAAAAAAGCTAATTGATGGACTAGTCCCCATTTTAAGTGTTTCTCCCCTCACTTTTCTTAAGCCTTTGGTCCCTGCTACCACTTGGCTGTATTAGAAAATACAGCTGACCCTTGAAGAACTCAGTTTGAACTACACGGGTCTATTTATACATAGATTTTTTTTTTTTGGAAAAATTTTTGGAAATTTGTAACAATTTGAAAGACCTTTTCCTTTTCCCTAGCTTACTTGAATGTAAGAAAAATAACACATATAGAACAGATGTGTTCATCGACTATTTTTATTTTTTTAAGACTTCCAGTCAACGGTAGGCTATTAGTAGTTAAGTTTTAAGGGAGTCAAAACTTATATGTGGATTTTTCAGCTGCACAGGGGGTCAGCACCCCTGACCCCCACGTTGTTCAAGGGTCAACTGTAGTATAAGACTATATCTGATTTATCCCAGAAGCATGAATTTCATTAAACTTTTTTTTCATGTCTCAACGTTTCCTGGTGTTCTGCATGTATGTAGTCTGCTCTCTAAAAATGGGGGAGAGCCCCCTGGGCTGGAAGCCTGGCATCCAAGGTCCTGCCCAGCAGGCCCCACCCACGTGGTTCACTTCCCTTTTCCAGGCCTTGGCTGGTGCGGTTTCTCTGCCTAGAAGGCAGGTCTTCCCCTTCTGCCCGGTGGAGTCTTCCTTTGAGACTTAATGCCACCTATTATCTGGTGTAATAAAAGTTTGTGGAATGGATGAGCAGATGCACAGACGGAAAGATGAGATTAAGAATGTGAAGTTGCCGAGACCCCCAGACGGCCAGGACCCCCCACGGGGGAGGCACAGCGCAAGTGTGGTGACCCTCCGCCCCTTCACTCGCTGGGCTTCAGCCACTTGGGCTTCTTACTAGTCTCAAACTGTCCCGTCCTACCCAGGTTTTTCATGTGACTGGCGTCTCCTCATGATGCAGGTCTCAGACCACAACCAGTACCCCCATACCGCTCTGTCCATACCACTGGAAAA